CTAAGGCTTGGTACTCTGCTTCGGTGGAGCTGCGAGCAACAGCACGCTGTTTGGCCGCTCTCCATGAAATGGGATTCCCACCAAGGAAAACAATGTAGCCGGTTGTGGAGAGACAAGTGTCACGGTCCCCAGCCCAGTCTGCATCAGAAAAGGCGTGAAGTGAGAGGGACTGTTGTGGCCGGAGAAGGATCCCATGAGAGGCAGTGCCACGAAGATAGTGTAGAACTCGCTTAAGAGCTTGCCAGTGAACATCAGTGGGTTTGTGCATGAACTGTGAGAGTCGACTAACAGCAAAGGAAATGTCAAGCCGTGTGAGAGAAAGATACTGAAGAGAACCGACAAGCTTTCTGTAGTCTGAACCATTTGGAAGAGTGATGCCGGTGTGGAGAAGCAAATTGGAAGTGGAAGCTAGCGGAGTAGCCATGGGTTTAGCCTCAGTCATACCCGATTTTTGTAATAGGTCCTGAATATAGCGATGCTGTGAAAGAAAAAGACCGTCATTAACCGACACAGCCTCGATGCCAAGAAAGTAACTGAGGTCGCTAGGCTCTTTGAGAGAGAAGCGATGTTCCATAGTCTGGATTAAAGAGGTAATGAAGGAAATATTGTTGCCAGTAACAATGATATCATCCACGTAGACTAGAAAAAAAATCACAATAGACCCCTTGTTATAGATGAACAAGGAAGAATCTGATTTGGAGTTGAAGAACCCCTGCGAAAGAAGGAATGCCTTGAGAGCTCGAAACCAAGCTCGGGGGGCTTGTTTTAAGCCATAAATCGATTTGCGAAGCCAGCAAACATGTGAGGGATGAGTCTGATCAATAAAGCCGGCAGGTTGCTGCATATAGAGCTCTTCATCAAGTTCACCATGTAAAAAGGCATTATTCACATCCAATTGCTTAAGAGGCCATCGGCGACTAACTGCAAGAGAGAGAACAGTCCGGATTGTAGTGGGTTTAATAACAGGACTGAAGGTGTTGAGATAATCCGAACCTGGCCGTTGATGAAACCCCTTGGCAACTAAACGTGCTTTGTAGCGTGTAATGGACCCATCTTTACCCCGTTTTATCCGAAAGATCCACTTGCAGCCAAGAACATGTTGATCCGGGTGAGAGGGTACCAGCTCCCACGTCCCTTGACGAATCAACACATTGAACTCTTCAGACATGGCCCGTCTCCAATGGGAATCTTTGATTGCTTAAGGCACACACGTGGGTTTAGGTGAAGGGAGTGGGGAGGCCATGGTTGCATGATGTAAGGTCTTTGGTTTAAAGATGTTGTTTTGAGAGTGGGTGACCATGGGATGAGTCCGTATAGGCAAGGGAGGCGATGGTGGTGAGAGGTTGTGAGAAGGAGCGTGGTTGGTGGATGTAGGAGGAGAGGAGTCCAATTCAGCTATGATGGGGGTGACGGTAGGGGTGGAGGTTGGACAGGGGCTTTGAGTGGGAGAACGAGGTGTGGAGGTAGGAGCCGACGGAGTGACTGGTGAGTGAGGATCGGCTGATTTGGTGGACACAGGGACTACCGCATGATGGGGAACTGGAGCACAAGGAGGCAACATTGAGTGACCAACAGCTGGGCGGTGGCAGACCATGTCAATGGGAGCTGGCTGTGCAGAGAAGTCATGAGGAAAGGAGGAATCAGAAAAGCTGTAGGTGGTGGAATTGGAGAGAGAGTTTTGTAGAGTAGGAGTATGATAGGGAAAGTGGTTTTCATTGAAAATGACATGACGTGAATAAAAAAGCTTTCCAGAATGAATGTCAAAACATTTGTAACTCAAGTTATCCGGGGAATAGCCCAAAAAAATACAAGGACGAGAGCGAGGTTGTAGTTTATTATTATTATATGGACGAAGCCATGGACAAGAGCAACCAAAAATGCACAACTTTAGGTAATTTGGTTTGACTTTAAATAATTTTTCCAAGGGAGAGATAGAGGACAAGGTTACTGTTGGCAACCTATTAATTAGGTAGACAGCAGTTTGGAAGGCAAAGGACCAAAACTTGGAAAGCAAGGAGGCAGTGTGGAGTAAAGTGAGGCCTGTTTCGACAATGTGTCGATTTCTACGCTCACTAATACCATTGAGTTCAGGGGTATAAGGTGGTGTGGTAATATGGGAAATACCATTTTTAGAAAGAAAAGCACGAAGGGCAATGTACTCGCCCCCGCCATCGGAATGAAAATTTTTAATGGAAGAACCAAATTGATTTTCAACAAGAGATTTAAATTTTGGAAAAATTATTGAGACATCAGATTTGTATTTTATGGGAAAAATCCAAATGTAGCGACTAAAATGGTCGATAGACAATACAAAATAATGAAAGCCATCAATTGAGATGGTTGGGGCCGGACCCCAAACATCCGAATAGATGTGTTCTAGTGGAGCATGACTTGTGATAGATGAATGCGAAAAGGGTAACTTATGACTCTTAGAGCACGCACAAGATTCACATAAAGAAAAGTCCATTTTATTAGAAATAGGCAATTTAAAAAC